GAAAGCTTTTAGTCTCTGTTGTTCTGCCTTGTGTACCTAATCTTCGATTCGTCTGTGGTATGGAGAGTGGAGACCTCCCTCCAGGTTGGGTGACGACTTACGAGTACGGAGGCGGCCTGCCCTGAACGTTAGGCCTAAGGGTATAACTGGGTACTTCATTTGTAGGGACATGTAAGCTCACTTTCCCTTCCTAGAGGAATACTTCCAACAAAAGAGTGCCAGTCACGCCAACGAGTGTAGCAATACATGTATGTGCATGCTAAACAATAGTAAACATATTATGTACATGTACATGTACATGCACTGTCTGTACTTGCCTCAAAACCTCACTATGTGTATGTGTCGAGTCTAGTAGTCGGGGTTTTCAGATAGGAGAGAAGTAATTATAGTTTCAAAACCGTCAGCAAAATTTAATTTGGCACTTCTGACTTCGTACCACTACCACTAACGGTACCGGTGCAGTTAGTTGTGCATGTGCAGTTTTGATACTGATAGCGACCTGGTGACTTGATCACTTCCAAGAATCGCGCTCACGAGTCGCATGCGAAATGTGCTACCCAGGCCAGACAGCCTGTGTCACTTGTGTGGCACTTCGCAGCAGGGGAAAACACCTACAATGGCAACATGACTGTCTGTACATACTCATAATAATTATTGTTAGATTGTATAATACCTACTGTACAATGACTACTGCAAAAGTATTGTACAATCATATACATGTATCATCATCAGTGCATGTGTACGTGTGTGATCATTCCGAAGACGAGCTCGCGTGCGAAACGTGCGCCCCAAAACGTGTGTGGCACTTTCCATGATCCAGGGGAAAACACCTACTGTACAATGTGCGTGAACACCTAATCAACGATTTAGGCAATGACTGTGAGCTGAAGTCAGACAGTACGTAAGTACAATGCACAATGTACGTGTGTCCTTGTGTGCGTCGCACTGTTCCCAGCTCTGCTCCTTGCCACAAGAACGCATTGACAGGATCAGAGTAACACTTACAGTTCCTGTTGTTGTCTTTCGCTGCATGTAGCGCACTAGTCACTACGAGTACAAAGTCATGCAAATGTGTGCTTGTACAGTCATGTACAATATAGTCCGCTTCGGCACTGCTACATAGCAAAAAGTAATGACTAATGGTTTGGAGCACTGAGTGATACTCACACCAGGCACGCATGACCATGATGACTGCACTGCACCCTACTGTACTGTGGCATCGCGCGCGTGACTCATGCCTACTTTTCAGATCCGGTTATTTCTCCCCTCATGCTCAATGCATGCTATCATTGTTGTACATTGATTATGTACAATCATGTACATGTAGACCTACAATGACTATGCATGTGGTTGGTTTGATGACCCACAACTTGGCACAAGTTACTAAGGCACAAGGCCAGAACGCCGCCGCATGTGAGGTTCATAACACAGCGATAAAGAAATCAATGACTGGATCAACGCAATGAGCGCATGCATGAAAAGTTACTTACTTGACAAGACAGCATTAACACACACAGATGAAATTTTTTTCATCTGTGTAGCCTGTCACTACATCACACTTGCGGGAATTCCCCCAAAAATGATTCACGTCCCCATTACGGCTGCTCACTGCTCCCTGCATGTACTGTACTAGTGTGTTGTCACTTGTCAGCTGACTAGTAAGGGTTTCCACAAAATAATTCAAGAAAAAAATCTCAAAATTCAAATTCAAAATTCAAAAAAATTAAGCAAATTTCAATGATAGAATTCAAAAAAATCGCAAAATTTAAAAAAATTCAGCCAATCACTCTGGTTGCGCCGAAACTTCTGGACATCACCATGGCAACACCATGGTAACGCAAAATGGTGGCCGAAGAAAAATGGTTGTGGTCCATCTTCTGTCAATCTGCTTTCCAGTTCCGGTGATTATTATTATTATTTTTTTGATCCAAGGTTTCTCCACACAGGTCGATGGGACGATGGCATCCAACAGCTTACTGAAAACCCAAAACCAACCATGCAAGTGGGTAATGTATGGCAAAATTCAACAAAAGGGACTCAAAATTCATAAAAAAATCAAAAAATCAAAAAATCGCCGAAATTCAGAAAATATTCAGAATTTTTTGTGGAAACCCCTACTGACTACTTTGTCGCAAATCGCATGATGTAATACTAGTATGGCGAAACACATGACGCTGGCGAGCATGTGAGCACAGGCATGCATGAACTACTATACACTATTGAGTACTTACCTAGTACGAAGTAGTGGTTGCGACTTCGGCGATGATTTGTAAGAAAGGGTTTGCTCCCCACACCGGAGCTCGCGCTATTCCGCCGACTTTACTTGACACTTGACTGACTCACGACTGCCATCCAGAGCACACGAGAAGTTCATCGAACCGTCGACTCGGCAAACCTGCAAGAAAGCACCACTCCCTGCTCAATACACAGTGTTTCGGGGAATTCACCCCTCATCAGTTGAGCTTGAGTAGGCTGAGGAGGATTGTGCCTGAAGAGCACCACTTATATAGTGCTCTCCAGGCACAAACATCACCAGGGATACAAACTTACAGAGACGCTCCATTTCCAGCGCGACAAACACCTCGTGAACACCAGGTAGCAGCATGAGTCAGTGTCGCTCCTGGACGGTGAGACGGTGAGACCAGACGTTGAGGACCCTCAGTCGTTCGCAACGCTGTCACCTCCAAACCAACTAGTCGCAAGCCCGCGCTGGGCACAACAGTACGAAGTAGTGGTTGCGACTTCGGCGATGATTTGTAAGAAAGGGTTTGCTCGTGAGTCAGTCAAGTGTCAAGTAAAGTCGGCGGAATAGCGCGAGCTCCGGTGTGGGGAGCAAACCCTTTCTTACTTACCTAGTAGCAGTAGTACCTGCTTACTGCCGTATACTTTTGAATGCATGAGTCGCGCGCGCCTCGACTGGCATAAATAAGCCAGAGAAAATATTGTGCTACCTCAGTGCAAAGATCTCTTCTCCAAACGAACGCTTGCATACGTTTCTCTGGTTCCAGTCCACTAGCGAGACGTGAACGTTCCAGCAGAATTTCTATAATACTTCTAGCTAAGCGTAGCCATTGTGGTTGATCGAAAGTCAAGAAGCTATCAGAGAGGGAAATTTTTACTGTTACCTAGTGTGTCATTAGTGACTGTCACTGAACGACGTGGTCTGTAGTGTAGACTGTGTATTTAAACAGGATGGCCTGTACAAGTGACTATCGACCGTGTCCCGCTAGGCGCGAACCAGACCGGACAATCGTCGTGATGGGAAAAACAGGCAACGGAAAGTCTGCCGTGGCAAACGTACTGGCGGGAGACTACGATGGCGGCCTCTTCCCCGAATCCAGCAACCCTGCGAGTGAAACGAGTGGTTTGCCGACGCACACCGTCCTAGTGTCGTACGCTGGCAAAGACCATGCCATCAAGATTGTGGACACCATCGGCTATGGAGACACCTCCCTGTCGGAGAAAGATGTCTTGAACGAACTGGCTAAGGTGGCTCAGACGTGCACCGATGGAATCAATCAGATTCTCTTTGTCACACGTGGTCGATATACCCAGGAGGACAAAACCACCATGGATGCGATGATGAACGTGATCTTTCAGCCCGACGTGGCCAAGTTCTCGACTATCGTTCGCACAGCAACACCAGCCAAAGAACTGGACGAAGCTGTGGTGGCTGCCAAGACTGCCGAGTATCGCCAGGAGATGATCAAGCTGCATCCGAATCTCGCCCAGATCGGTACCTTTCTCATGATCAGCAACCCGGACGATGGTGACGAACGCAGCATGCAGATGCGCCGACGCTCTCGCAAGACTCTTCTCGACCACGTGATACTGCATTACATGCAGTGCTATGCGACTCCAAGTTACACCAGTGTTGTGGCAAGGGTTAACAAACACCTGGGCGCACAAACTGCTCAGCAGGAGGAACAGAAGCGCCAGGAAGCGGAGCGGACACGCCTCCAACAGGAGCTAAAGGCCAGAGAGGCGGAGCAGGAGAGACTTCGGCAGGAGCAGGAAAGAAAAGCCGAGGAAATGCGGCGTGCCAATGAGGAGCTGCGACGAAGGGCTGCAGAGGCGGAACGCAATCGACGCCGACGCCGCAAGAAGGGTTGCTCCATAATGTGAATAAAGTCTGCAGCCGAGTTCTAGTACACAGGGAGCTATGGAGTGCGATGGCAGCGGTGCAACCCAACACTTTGTTTCATGATCAAGTACAATTATGTATATTCTTGGACATTCCATATGATGCACCCAGATCTGCAGATCTAGTGTAATACAGAACAGCAAGAGCAATCAAGGCTGGTTTGTCGCTACGGTACTTCTTGTTCTCGAACTTCAAGTAGCGACAAACACGCCTTGATTACCCTTATTGTTCTGTATCCCTTGACATAATATAACTGTTCTATTTCGAATAACCTAGCCCTGTTTTATTGCTCATTATGTAATATATCGGTAGACTACCATCACTGTTTATTGGGTATGCTCTCCCTTTCCCCAGCTAGAGACTGATGAGCAAGATTGTATTCTCAGCTGGAATATGACTATTTAGAGTAATTTCAACACAATCACGAACATACGCAATCCATTGAATTCATTATTGCCTACTCGGAGAGAAAATTGGAATCTTTTTCATCACTTGGAATACTAGCAAGTCCTATTGCGATATTTTTGGAAGGCCCATAACGCTTTTCACCGCTGTGCCTACATGCAGTTGTGTTGGGTCGTGATAAACTCCTGGTTTGCAATCTCCGCTAACATGGAGCTGTAAGCTAGGTATTGAACCGTTCAATGAGGGGAAGGGATGCCCCAAGAAGGTGCCAGAGAGATGTCCACGAGCTATGTCCCTAGGCTACACAGAATTGGAACTCATTGGAACGTTCCCCACCAACCAACCTTCCAAGTTGCTCTATTTCTTTATTCACATACCAAACATGCATTATGCATACCAGAAAACTACCGAATTCTGCCGATTTTCCTGCCCGCAAAATCGAGCCAAGGGCTAATCAGTACTACAATTTTGTTTTGTTTTCTTTAAAAGAAGCATAAAGATGAACTCTCCAAAAACAACAAGTAACCCCATAAAGGCCAAAAACTAACCCAAGAACATGTGCAACAACATGTTATTTAGAAAGACAGGACAAGTGAATAATAATTATTATTAGACAGTCCATTGTTCATGATGGTCTCCATCAAAACTACAGTAGCATGTACACTATACATGTACAATGTACATGTGTAGTGTACATGTAGATGCACGGGACACCAAAACAATAACGCAGTCAACCTCGTCAAAAACGACCTCCGGAGTAGGACCAACTCAGGCATAGCTAGATAGTTTTGTGACGTACATATAGGGGCCAATTGACTAAAGAAATGCTCCACCTGAAGAAAAACGAATCCTGAAAAACGACCGTAACTGTTCTCATCCAGGATGGAGATGTGAGGGATTGTTATTCAGCAAAGTGTACTGCAAGTACCTGTGCATACATACATACAAGGGCAGCATCAGTACGCACAGCTTGAGCATACACCAAGGCAGTTGAGTGTTTGAACCAGGGAGTAGTAATATTACTACATTTATTTGACTACGCCCTGCATGGGACTCAAAACGGGCTTATTCAAACCATACGACATGGAAAGAAGGAAGAAAACCAAAGATACAAGGGATGAAACTCGACGATGAAATCAAAATGAAAATTTGAAAAAAGCCTAATCCAAAGAAACTCAAGGCAAATGTAACAAGGTTGTGTACAAGTAAAAGATTCAACTAAATCCCTAGACGAATGCTTTGAAAAGATGATATACATCCCTGATTGGGACAGTTTAACCCCGACCATGATGCTATCCTCAATTTTTACCCTAGGTACATAGGAAAGGACCTACGGTACAAAAAATTTGCATGAAGCTGCAGCAAACTCCTGCCGTGTGGTGCTTGCAGGGACCACTTGTTCCGTCATGTTGGCATCCTGACCATTAGTGCGGTACTGGATAGCGTACATCCAAACTGTGATCACAAACAATTTGAAAGTGCAACACAAATTCAGATCAGCATTGTGCGTACGGTATTGGACTGTTCAGATCATCGCAAACATGCCTGTGCATGTGTGTGGTCTTCCTGTGATGTAGTACTCAACAACAAAATAGGGATAATACAATTTTCAAGAGACATCCAGATGGATGCATCTTGTTGATTGCCATAATAAAGTAACACTTCGTTGTGGCTCTTTTTTCAGTCTCCGTTTTATGATAGCAGATCAATATACATGCACATTGTGATCATAATATGTTGGCAGTGGGGCTAGTTACCACAGCAACCTAAAAATGCTTCAGCGCATTCTAGTGCATCCAATTGAGGAGTTCAACCCTACTGCACGTTGGAGTAGGGGTTCAAAGAGATTGCATAAAGCTGCGGAAAAGGTACCCACATGAGTGGTTCTTGGTCGACTCATGTGAGACCCCTTGTGTACAGATAATCGTTCAATGACTCTCTCGAAAACAGGACACGTACCTGTATGAGGGCCAGGGAAGACAACAAATTTCAAAGTCTTCACCACCATCATCGAGGAGAGGATTGACAATTGTTTGCAAAGTAGAGTTACATGTATAATTCAAACGGTTGTAAGAACCTGAGGAGACCAGGCCCAAACTAACCTAGGCACAATCATATCGCGCAATACTGTGCTTGCTACTTGTCCCAGTTTTTTCAGGGCTGTTTTCCACCACGGAAGTTCTTCCTTGACCTTTGCAGTCAGCTCCCCGTTGATGCGTTTGAGCCTTTCCAGCTCCTCAGCGTTACTCCTCTTGAACTCCGCATCGCTGATGCGCGCAGCCGCCAGGTCCTCCTGAAGCTGCTGGAGTTTGCGTTCGGTCTCGGTCTTCTGTTGTATATGGCCATCGATCCTGCCCTTGACTTCGGCAAACAGAGGTGGAACGTAAACAGCCTGATAATGCAGAATGATATGCTCGACCATACGCTTTCGAGTTCTCCTGCGTACTTCGTAGCTGTGGTCATCGCCGTCGTCTGGGTTGCTGACCATGAGGAAAGTGTTGATGCGCCCCAGGCTGGGGTGCAGAGCGACCGACTCCTCCTTGTAGGCCTGTGTCTTGGCCGATATGACGTCTTCTCGCAGCTCCCCGCCCGGCGTTCTCGTGCGAACCAGGGTGCAAAAGGGCGCCACTTGCGGCTGAAAGATCACGTCAATGACGGAATCGGAGGCCTGTCGCTCTTCCTGGGTGAAGCGGCCATTGGTGATGAAGATGATCTGGTTGATCCCACCGCTGCACGTGTGTGCCAAATGCGCAAGCTCCAGTAGCACCTGCTCTTCGGTGAAGCGGTTGTCGCAGAATCCGATGGTGTCGATGATCTTCACTGCGTAATCGTGGCCCGCGTACGGCACGAGGACGGTCTTAGTAGGCAAGCCCTGGGTCTTACTGGTCGGAGAGCTGGACTCCGGGAACAAGTCACCCTTGTATCGACCGGCAATGACGTTTGCCAGAGTGGACTTGCCCTTGCCTGTCCGACCCATTAGGACAATCGTGCGATCAATCTTCCTTCCGTCCGGACACGGTCTGTAGTCGTCGAAGTTGTCCATCACAACCGTGCATCAACTGAGTCAACTGAATACTAGTACCCGGGTGCCTGACGTACGCTAAAGCAATGATTAGTTTCACTGAAGACTTACTCGACTGAGAGCCTATAGTTCCCAAGTAACTTAGTCACTCTAGGCAGCTGTTAAATTGCTCTGCAATTTGTACTGAAGTAGACGCTCAAATTGTGTGCTTTTATTCACTGGTCACACTCTGTCATGATCGGCTTCGCTGGAGAGTGGCAAAGGATGAGTAATAGGTCACCAGGTGTTTCGATGTCGTCAGATCACACTGCCTAACAACTAGCACATGATCGTAGTGCTGCTGGCACAACTATCAATTATTTCAAGAGCATTACCGCGGGGAAAGTCCCATCAAAACCCAAAAGGTGATCTTGACGACGACAGTACGAGTACATGCATCTGTTTGCCAGTCCTGGTCACACTTTGTCCAGGGTTATTCAAGCAACAGATGGTCAGATGAACGGACATCTCCCTATTCGTCATGGACTAAAGGTCATCCCGAAAGATACAAGTAGAACCAGTACTACTACTTCTGCATGCACAAGAACAAACACAATTATTATTTGTGCTCTCACGTGATGTTGAGGTTGCTGTCACGTGATGTTGAGGTTGTCTAAAAATTTCAGTGAACTAACTTGTAGGCAACTTATTTTAAATACTTTGTCCTAAATACTAGTAGTAGTAGACTAGTAGTAGTGTCGTGTCCGTGTGTTGCTATCTGTAATGTATTCCGTCTGCTCCTACATGTATCTTTGTGAAGTGTTTGCCGTGGCGTCGATGTGTCTCGTCTATGAATAGCGTTGGGAAACGTATCACTATTCGTGCTTTGCTGGCTGGCTGCTCGCGCCCTTCGCTCCTTCAGCTTGCACGCTACTATGTACTAGGACATAATAGCAGTATATAGGTATATGGGTTGTCGTTGTTCTTGTTGCTTCTCGGTTGCTTGGAACTTGGTCCTAGAGTGAAGCTTTGGTCTTCTTGTGTGGTGAGGGTGAGGAATGGGTATCTGGACTCCTGGTATATTTCCGTAAAGAACCTGGAATTGTAGAATCCTGATAGTATGTCTGGCCCACTCCCCGGTCATGACAGTAGTACAGTGAGTATGGTTAGTGACCGGGTGTACCGATATACCGGCTATAATGATAGAACTCGTCAAAATCAAAATCAAATCACAAAAAAATACAGCTAAAATATCACTTTAATTATACACTATTATCGGCTATACCGATATATCGCTTAGGGTTGGTTCACATAAGCAAAATCGTCGCCGCAAGACATCGGCGGTGAGCCAGCTCCCGATCCGTTGCGCCTACGGTTCGAGTACCAAATCTACTACAAAGTAGTACAGAATGTGCCAAAATGCTACGACAGGTTTGCCAATTAAAGCTTGAATTCTTTGTTTCTTCAGTAGTTCGAGGTCTTGCGGTGATGGCCACTTGGTGCTGCCTTTTACTGGAGATCATGAAACTACTTCTACACATTTTATTGCAGTCTAGTAAGCGATTGTGTCGAAATTATGCTTGCAAACGTTGATGAAGTCACAAAAACTTGCCAATGTATCCATTATAATTTTATATTTGTTTCAATTGTATTTGTCTCATAACTTGCACAATGGTCAAGCAGATCATCTGAGAAGGACGGGCTGGTATCCTGACTTATTTGCCGCCTTGAAGCGACTACAAGAATGGCGAACGGATCTCCTCTCTAGCTTCAATTTAGGAAAATTTAGGACGGACAAGTATTGCCATATTGGTTTGATATTTTGACAAAGTCTGGCTCCCGGCAGCCGGCGATCACCGGCGCGAACGGTTCACAAACCACTTTTGGTCAAAATCGTACGGGATCGGCGCCGGGGCAGATCGCAAGAGTTGGGCACTGTCCAACTTTGCCGGCGGTCCCTTGCGATATTTTACCGTATGATTTTGTTACGACTGCACTGGTTCACACAATCGCAATGCGCCGGGAGAGGTGGTAAGAAGCCCACCGCCGGTGACTCCCGGCGCGTACCGGCGATATGTGAACCAACCCTTATTGTGATGGGCTTCAGGAAGCAAACCGTATCAAATCCACAGGAAAATATCGCATAATTATACTGATCAAGAGTGATGATCACAAAACAAGTGTTCTTCCAATATACAGTAGTTCACTTCTTCCAAAACTGATCCAGTGTTGCCTGGATGCATCAGGCAGCAGACGTGATTGAGAGAAAATTCTTCCCTGTATGCTAAGCATCCGCAAGTACACGTGGCTGATTTTCATGCTTTTTCCAGCAGGTACGCATCATTTCATGCACAGTCATGTGCCATGTGTCAGTCATACATGCAAATCGGCTATAGTGATGCACCGGATATAGTGATAAATTATCGAAAATCAAAGGGGCACGTTTGATATATCCACTATTTGCTGTAGTACTAGTACGTGTGTGCTGCGTATGTGCTTTGCGCTCGGCATGAGTCATGTTGACTGGCGCCGGGGACTTCCCTGTCATTGAGTGTCTGCCAAGTAAGTAGTTTTGATATGCCCCTGCGATGCGGCATGCGCCTGAGACCTGGCGAAAAGGAGCTGAGAATGCATGTACATGATTGTAAAAATATCATGTACATGTACACATAAGTGACAAGCAGATCCAGGGCAGGTTGTTAATTGTTGTTGGGTCTTGAGCACAGGTGTGCCTCCCCCACTTTCCTTCCAGTTTGTTCTATGTTTAGTAGAAGTACAGTTATTGTGAAGCTTGCCTTTTGATCCTGTCTCTTGTTGTTGTGTACTTTCCACAATACTGTATTGCATTCCAATACACCAAACCACCACATTGCGCTCTTGGCCGATCCAAACTCTGCACTCACATCACCATCACCACAGCGAGGACAATTCCGGTATATACTACTTGGTCCGCGTCAGCGATATTGTCGCTTATCACTCCCTTAGTATTGACTCACATAGATTTTTGCCATACCTAAGCAGTCAAATATTCCTGCATATTTCACTCCTTAGGGCTATATTGACTGCTTATATTTGACTGCTTAGGGGTTGCGCAGTTGAACAGTGCCTAGTGCAGCATTGTCACTCCATGAGTAGGTGGTGGTGCAACGGTTGTGCAATCATAAAACCGGGATTCATGAGGTTATCGTTCTGGAATTTGAAATACGGACTGTTTGTCGTGATAAATCTAATATTGACTTCGTACTTGGTCAGTATAGCCTATAGGAAATAAAAACCTCGTAAAAGACCTCGGCTTCGCCTCGGTCCTTTACTCGGCTTTTATTTCCTATATTGACCTCGTACTCAGTCAATATTTGATACATATTGCTGACGCGGACCAAGTAGTAGATTGATATTGACAATGACCCTCGAGACAGCTGTTTCGCTCCTCCTGAGCTCATCAGTGGAGGCATATGATGTTGAATGAAAGAATAATAAGAATAGACTGATCTTTATACGGCTAAATTGGCGCAATTGCGCTCATTCTGCATAGAAACGTGGCACACCCTAAGTGACAAAAGTGACAAAAGTGATAACAAGGTCAGGTGATAACGACACGCGCTCTTGGCTGGGACAGGAACATGTGGCACGTGTGAAAAGGTGGGGGGGGGGGGCAAAAAATCAGCAGCCAGTCTAACACCAGAAAAGTAACATGACTGTAGTTATTGCATGTGCCACAAAAAACAAAAACAAAGATACTTCGGCTGACTGTACTTGTCCCATAGTGACGTGACGGGGAACGAACGACGAAATGAACTGGCCGACGCGGCAGACACAGAGGCCCCTGAGGCAATCACTGTCCTGCCAGCCCGTCGCACACAGCCACACCACGCCGCCAAACCCGTTGAACACGTACACTGATGTTGGCTGCGCCTTCAGTCAGCATCTTCCGCCGCAAAATAGCCTCTTGCCACACAGAGAGGCCCGTGGGGCATTCACTCCAGTCAGGGCTGTGCTGTGTCCGATGCTGCTAAATTTTGATCTAGCATTTGATGTTGAGGAACTATCCCGCTTGTCTCGTAATTTCAGTGTCGCTTTACGGCGCATTTGAAGTTGAGAAGAAGTACCGACGACCCGGCCATTATGGAATCCAATACACCACACCACCATAATTATTGCGCTCTTGGCCGATCCGAACTCTGCACTCACATCACCATCACCACAGCTAGGACAATTCCGGTATATACTAGTAGATTGATATTGACAAAGACCCTCCTATTCTTATTATTCTTTCATTCAACATCATATGCAAGACACCGCCCATGATGCGCTGTGAACCTTGTCACGCCCATTTCTGTGCTCTCTCGAAAGCGTCCAAGTATTCAAAATAGGTCACTTTTTTATCTGGTCACCAATGGTCAATCCTTCGCTCAGTTACGTTTTCGGTTTTCAACAGGGTTCTTTTTCCCGCAGACCTATCTGTAACCTATTCAGTTACCATCGGTGACTTCTTTCACTTGTGATTTTTTTCTCCTCCCCTCCCCATTCGGGAGAATAAAGTTGAAGACACCACTGCAGCTGTACTTATGGTTGATAAATATGGTGGTAAAGACACACCTGGCAATATGGCGGTAAACACACGCCTGCCCACACAAGCTCTCTAGGCTGCAAAGTTCTGGCACAGAGCTCTCCTTCTCACCACCACCACCATCAGTTGGCGCCTGGCGCCTGGTCGATGCATGGCTGGCGGTATCCGGCATAGCAGGCTGGTACATCAAGTAGCGCATGGCACATAGATGATGACACAGCAACGACATAGCTCGATTGCGACGTACGTTTCGTCCCCGTTAATTAACGCGTTGGACTCATCAGGCAATCTTCTTCTTGGATGTCTTCATACGGAGCTTGACTCGGGAGAATAAAGTTGAAGACACCACTGCAGCTGTACTTATGGTTGATAAATATGGTGGTAAAGACACACCTGGCAATATGGCGGTAAACACACGCCTGCCCACACACGCTCTCTAGGCTGCAAACTTTGCAGCCTAGAGAGCGTGTGTGGGAGAGCGTGTGTGGGCAGGCGTGTGTTTACCGCCATATTGCCAGGTGTGTCTTTACCACCATATTTATCAACCCTCCCCATTACTATTATTATTATTATTAAATTTGTCATGTCGCTCGCATGTATAAAAGAAGGCGCCAT